AATTCAATTTTTATGCTTCTTTTATATGAATAGTTATGAATTAATACTGCAAGGATAATCCCATATATGTAAAATTCATGTTAAACTCGTCATATGTTAGAGCAATTGATTTAAATCTTATTTTGAAGTCGTGTAACTTTTAAGTTAAAAATCAATTATATAGTAATTATTACAACTAGAAAACAGCTGTTAACCTAAACTTTAGGTCATTCTTTCAAAGGTCGTAGCTGTTACGTTTTAATAGTTAAGTCTGAGGTTTGTGGCTATTTAATTAGTAATATGTTGCTTAAGCACTTTAATCCTCTACGAGCTCTAACCGAGAATACAACTTACGGTTCTTAACGCTCCTCCCTACAACAAATACAAACACCCAACTACAAATAATACATTTCTATTTCAACTTCTCCTTTCCTTTGTCGCCCAGTTGACATTTGGTCGCATAAAGTTTTTTAATAATAATTATTAACAAGCAAACTTTTGGAGATCAAGTTTATTACGATGTAGGTATGTATAAGAAGGTCAGGTCAAGTCTGAGGGCCTTCGGTGTATGAAAAAAAATGTGACATTTGCAATAGTGGCTCTGTACTCTCAAGCAATACCTGAAGGGATATATCGTGAAGATCAGACACTAAAAAGTAAAAACTGAAAAAAAAACGTATTTCTAGACATTAAAAAGTAAAAAAATAACTGTAGGGGGAGTTTTATTTACTATATACAATATACGTATATCTAACCAAAAGTTTTCGATACTCCATGTCAAAGAAAATTGTATGGGACTACCTCGTTATTACAATTAAAAGTTTAAAAATCGGTCAAACGGCCTCCGAGAAATTTGTGAACATACATAAGAAATAGATACATACAGACTAATATACAACCTCCTCCTTTTTGAAGCACCAAAAATGAGGTTCTGAGAAGGTTCCCTTTAGAGTTTAAAACGTATATTTTGAATAAATGTCAATGTCCCATAAGAGGCTTACTGTGACATTTATATTTAAAAAAAAAATTAAATGAAATTCAATATATATATATATATACATATATATATATATATATATATATATATATATATATATATATATATTAGGGCGACCCAAAAAAAAGGATTATTTTTTTTCATGTCTCGTGTGAAAATATGTTAGTTTACTATGTTTTAAGAGTCCCCTCCAAAGGACAGCTCAAAAAAAAATTTTTTAAAGGTCACTCACAATTTTTTTAAATTTCCTAAATCCTCAAAAATAGATTTTTTTTTCAAATGCTTTTTCTCGTAATTTCATTTCTTTTTACATGAAAAATTATGAAGATCCTGAAAATTTCAAGTCAAAATTTTAATATTTAGAGGTCGCTACAATTTTTTTAAGTTTTCAAATCGAGTACTTTATATCTATTTGAGCAAATAAAAGAAGACGGTCGAAGACAAAGACAAGTAATACTTGAACCGCGCGCCTGGTGTCAAAAAATTGAACTAAAAATTATTCAAATATATCTAATAATTGACTATTGTTGTATTTAAAAATTATAAAAATGTTAAATAAAGTAATAAAAACATTAATAAAGCTTTACTTTTTGTAAAATGAATTAATTTACACAAATTAAAAAATTATCAATTTTTTAAAATTATTCAAAAATGGTGAGAATTGTTCATTAATTTTTTTTTGTTTCTCGTGCTTTAATTTCATTCTTTAGCATGTGAAATTTAAGGAAAAAAATATTAAGTTCGTTAATATTCATGTTAAGAAGTTGCTCAAATAGATATAAAGTACTCGATTTGAAAACTTAAAAAAATTGTAGCGACCTCTAAATATTAAAATTTTGACTTGAAATTTTCAGGATCTTCATAACTTTTCATGTAAAAAGAAATGAAATTACGAGAAAAAGCATTTGAAAAAAAAATCGATTTTTGAGGATTTAGGAAATTTAAAAAAATGTGAGTGACCTTTAAAAAATTTTTTTTTGAGCTGTCCTTTGGAGGGGACTCTTAAAACATAGTAAACTAACATATTTTCACACGAGACATGAAAAAAAAAAATAATCCTTTTTTTTGGGTCGCCCTAATATATATTTATATATATATATATATATATATATATAATATATATATATATCGCTATACAGAATAATGACATATGAATTAATACCGATTACACGCTACTGGTCATTCACAAGTCCCTTTGTTGAATGTTTAATTCATTTTTGTGTTAATTCGTCGAGTTGTTATATTCGAAAGCAACAAACACACGGGGCGAATTCATTATTTATTCACTTTCAACATAAAATACCATGTAGACTGACCTAAAATTCCCTCTCATAATATACGTACAGTTTAATAATAAATATTTGGATTTCGTCCTATGTGTTTTATTTCTTGTGCAGATGTTCACAAAATCCGACATTTATACGGGATCTAAATAAACGTGTAGTAGTAAAAAAATACTTTTAACCATAAATTCAAATACACTTTAATACTTTCTAAGATTTACGCGAATATTTAACATTTTCAATAAACCAATTTTTTGGATTTTTTCGACGTTTCGAACGCTTTATAATAATCACGGTTACGGGCGTGCTCAGGTCGGTAACCAAAATTCAAAGTAAATGCGCGAAAAAGTCTGAAAATATAGTTTTATTTAAAATGTCAAATGCATTTTATTTTAATTATAACTAGCATTGCCCGCGGCTCCGCCCGCGTTCAGATGACCAAAAACTAAATTCTTAGGTGTTACATATTAGTATACTCTTACATTGCAGTTTTTGTATTTTTCCTCAGAAATAAGATATTTTCCCGCGGTAAAAAGTATCCTAGGATCGCGCGCTACATCGCCCGGTTTATATAGCTTGAGCAGGCGGTCGAGCGATGCGGGGCAGAGGGGATGGACTCGCCGTAGGCATCTCAATGCTCGCCAAGCATTAAAAATGTTTCGCTACTAATTACTTCTAACAACGATATCTCAAAAACTATTCATCTGATTGATTTAGTGTAAAGAGCAATTTTAATCTGCATTAAATGACTAAGCTAACTAAAATATTCATTTGGATAAGGATTAATACCGAACTAAAGAAAATAACTTTGAAAATAACGTAATGTTTTTAATTAAAAATGTTAACATAAAAGTGGTTATTGTAAGTCAACCGTAAGAGATAGAGATATGCTATCGCGGACTTTTTTGTAGCATTTTTATAGATTTTGAATTCTCTAGTACATTACTTAACTGTATCTTTGCTAGTTTACGCGGCGTTCGCGTGGAAAGTTCCCATTTGGCGAGATTTTTTGCGACCTCTTCAACATTTGTCGCCGTATTTCAGATAATTTACTTAAAAGCATAATAAATTATATACCTAAACCTTCCTCAAGAATTACTCTTTCTATTGTTGAAAACCGTATAAAAATCCGTTCAGTAGTTTTCGAGTTTATCGCGTTCAGACAGACAGGAGGACAGACAGGAGGACAGACAGGAGGACAGAAAGACGCGGCCGGGGGACTTATTTTTATAATAAGTATAGATGTGAGCGATGGAGTTTACTATATATAAAAGTTATTGTTATACCCTTAATTTTTATTAGATTTGGATTTTAATATGTGTATGGAATTACTCTTGTCGATAACTTATTCTAAATTGATTTACAACTGGCAAAGATATTGCGTAAAACACCGGCTAAAATTCTAAGTATTTTTATTTTTATACCAATTCCTAAGAATTTATACGAATCTTTTACTTTTTGAATTCTAGAACGAGAGAAAAAAATGTAATAGAGTCCATTGTATGTGCATTATCTCTATCTTATATATTTTGTCCTATCTATATCATATGTATCAAAGTTTGGGAAAGGAATTGAGAGTGTGTATAAGTAGTAACGTACATTTATTGCTCTCATACTTGTACATTTATTGCTCTCATACTTGTGCTCACAAAAGGCAGTGGTAGCCCGGTAACACTTGCCTTACGCTGAAGGCAAACATCGTGAGGAAACCTGCATATCTGAGAGAACCTAGCAAGTTTTCGAAAGACATGTGAAGTCCGCCAACCCGCACTTGGCCAGCGTGGTGGACTATGGCCTGATCCTCCTCGTATTGAAGGGAGGCCCGTGCCCAGCAGTAGGACGTTAAAAAGGGCTGAAAACACTTGTGCTCATCTCATGTCTCTTGCGCAAATGACTTGTCTTAGTGAAATTGGCTGTTGTAGCCACAATAGTTCAGAGATAGATATTATTATTATATTACCTTAATTATCTTAAGCTCTCTAGACGCTAGTATATGAGCAATGCTTTATTGGTTCATCAGAGTCGCGGTTGTGAGGCGGGTTCCATACACTGAATGCCGCGCTTGAAAGCTGCCCTAATCATTTTGACAGATATAACAGACGATAAGACGATAAGGGTAGCCTTTATGAAAGTGGAAATCATATTTCTATATATGTATCTCAAAATAAGATATCATATAAGGCTATTTAATTAACCATAGCATAATATTCAAGTTGAGCCGTTTAAAATGGAGTCCGAAGGTTAGATTAATTTAAAAAAAATATTTAATACTTTTTTAATTTTGACCAATTAGGCATTTGGAGAGATTTAATAATATTTGTCATCCCAAAGTACTTATAATAATATATGTAATTTGTATATATTTTTGTGATCGCCTCTTAATAACTTTGGAATTTAATACCCCACTCCACAGGTCTACAAGAAAGAAAAATTTCAAGACACAAATCCGTGTCTGAAAAGCGCCATTTCGATAACATTAAATAATATAATAATACATATATACATATCACTCTCGCATTATTATAACGAATTTATTACGTATGAATAATTAAAACCGTTTAAACCGTTTATTAATACGTATACGTAATTATAAGGGAACACAGTATGGGACATTTATACATTTACTTATAGGTCATATTTTTTCTCATTAATATTATTTATCAATTATCATTTATCTAGATAGCATCTCGGTAAGTATCTATATAATTACGCTATTTTAAAATATTCCGCTTTTATGTTTAATTAGAAATTGTTAAAAGTCTGCACTTACTTGTTGCACTCACTTCAGGTCCAAGAGACTCGAAGGCTTTTCCAAAGCTTAGTTTCAGGAGACGATCAGAATCTGTAAAATAGAAGCATTTTAAACTATGCCACCTTGAGAGCGTTATTGGAACTAAATTAAAATTACATGAATTTTATATTGTACAGCGCCCTCTGTTACTAAACTATAATACTAAGTTACGTACGAGAAAATTATTATAACTCTGAAGAAGTTAACTAATGAACGTCTAGATGGCGCTGTACAAATATATTAAGCAAAGTTCAGGCGTATAATATATGAAACTAGCGACTCATCCTCGCCCGCTCGGGTTCGTCCCTCCTTGCGTTTTAACGTTTAGTATAGATTTTTCAGAGATGAGATATTTTCCCAAAGTAAAAAGTATACTATAATATGTTGACCCGGATAACCAGCTATCATCGTATTAAATTTCATCAAAATCTGTCCAGCGGTTTTCTCATGTTGCGGTCATAGACAGACAGACAAAAATTCTAGATTCAGTCTCTGTATCGATATAATAAATAATAAGATATTCCAAAAAATATTAATTAATGTACAGAATCGACTCGTTTAGAAATTATTGTATTATAAGAATAGATTAACATTATTATTGCTTTTGAAATACCTATCTTTTAAACATTATTTAAAAAAGTATTTAATATTGAAACATATTTATAACATACAATTTCATAATTTATTCATTGTATATTGTATATATATTATTTAAACCCAGTGATATTATATATCCTGTAATCCCTTTTTGACACAAACCTTTATCCTTTTTAATGAAACTTAATTTGATGTGATTATAACTCGGGGTAACAGGTAACGTTTTGTCCCAGAAAAACAATACGTAGTACATAGAAGGTGGAAGTTTATGAAAAATCCCTATAATTAGGTGTGTGGGGACTGCGTAGCTTTCATAAGCGTAGATATAAGTAAGCATTTTGTTTTTCATATCATATTATTAAAAAGGCTATGTAACCAGGGTTTTATTCTTCAAAAATATTTTTTTTTCTTTAGTGGCTTGGAGCAAAAACAATATAATTTTTAATTTTAACAATTGACAATATCGTACTGTATTTAAAAAATGATTTTTACTTTTACAGGCGAAATATATATATATATATATATATATATATATATATATATATATATATATATATATATATAGGTGTATATATGTAATTTGTGTTTGTTTTTCCTCTTTATAATAAACAAGCGACTCACCCTCGCTTCGCTCAGGTTTGTCCCGGGTTGCTTCCCCATCCAAATTTTCATCCCCTTTTTCACTCCCTTAAGGGATGATTTTCGGGATAAAAACTAACCTATGGTCTTCCCAGGGTCTCATATTATGAATTGTTTCAAATTGTTAAAATCTTTAAAAAAAATTATTCGAATGCAGGTTGAATATTACAAAATTTACCATAGGTTACTTTGCACATATTTATAAAATAAGAAAGTTTAACTATATGCCAAATCAACGACATTTATTATTCATTCAAGCAAACAAAAATAGCCCGAATTCGTGCTGTCCAATTTCTTTATATGGGATGAGGCATCTGTACTAGTATAGTATTATGTGATCTGTAGTGTGGGTAATAAAAATGTGTTTTGGTACTTTGAATGGATTTCCCTACAATATTGTCAATGTACTTTCAACAACTCAAGTGGTTAATCTATTTACTTATCTTAAACCAATAGAAAGGCCGTTTAGTGTATCAATAAAGAGAAATAACTAAGTAATTTATTAAAATAATAATATATTAGAGATCTAAGACTAATTGGCACAGTTTAAATATGTATAGGCAAGTTATAACCTATTAAGGAACTGTAAGCCGTCTGGAAGTTGGCCAACACCATTCAAACGGAGTTAGCTACACTCGCAAATATACATCCATTACACAAGCTTGGACACTTTATTAAGTTTTATTACTGCCGGCGGCTTCGGCCGTGTAAAGAGGTAAAGAGAAAATATTCTCCATAATCAAATATCTATGTAACCCAATTTTTATGGCGATCGGTTGAATGGTATAAAATTTAATGTGCTGCAGCGCCATCTTGTAGTGACTAGCACAAGTGGATAGCATAAAAGACTTCTCAATATGAAAAAAAAGGTATCTAGATTCTACAGTTTTAAAACATAGATAAAGAACATTCGGAGATTTACAGTTTTGCGTAAACAAACATTTTCTTTTGAAGTGAAACTTCTTTAGAATTGTTGTGATTTCAAACTCGATGAAACGGAAATGCGACACTAAAAAGAGACAAGCACATAAATATATAGGATTAAGCCGGCGAGAGAATGAGATAGAATATTTTACCATGTTGCCATGGTAACCGTTGTAATTGTCTGACAAATATATAATATTAAGTTTCATTTCAACGATGTGTGAATTGCACACACACACTTTTTTATATATGGTTTATTTATTAATAAAATGCTTGTTAGAATAGCGAAAACGACTTTCTTTTCTTATTCTATATGAAACGTTAACATTTTTCACGATTCGAGCATCAAAAGAAAAGTGATATACATAGATACCTAAAATTTTTTAAAGGTCCTTTAATCTATGATCTAACTGGAGCACGACAGTTTTTACTTCTCTTGTTATTTTAACGTTTAATACGGTTTAATTTAAATAAAATAGTCTCTCCCGTGACCATAATTGCTCTAAAGCATTCGAAACGTCGGAAACCAAAAATCAAAATAAATCCGCAAAATAATCCGAAAAGATAGTTTTATTTAAAATGTCAAATATTCGCGTAAATATAAGAAAGTATTATACGTATAAATAATCAAAAATTATCTAAAGCTTTTCGAAAGTTAACCCTGTGTGCTTATCAAGTTTCGCAAATAACGTACTATGATTAATGATATTATACAGTAAACGTAAGAAAACATATATTTGATCTATCTAAACTATGTTTGTAAAGTGAAAGTTTGAAGTAAATACGCCGACTTTGAAGTTATATACGCTAATTTTCTTGTCAAAATTATTTTTCGTGTACATACATATTTTAAACTAGCGACTAATCCTCGCTCCGCTCGGGTTCGTATCTAGTTACGTTTAGTATAGATTTCTCAGAGACGAGATATTTACTCACAATAAAAAGTATATGTAAACGCGGACAACCAGCTATCATTATACCAAATTTCATCAAAATCTGTTCTGTGGTTTTCTAGTGATGCGGTCATAGACAGACAGACAGGCAGACAATAATTTTAAAAATATAGATTAGGCCTCTGTATCGATAATAATAACTATTACAATAAGATTTTGCAAAAAATAGAATTTTATTATATGAATAGATTATATAAAGCCGAAAAGTTTTTAGCTAAACAAAATGTTTAAAAAAAATCTATGCCTATAGTATTTGTTCGAAATTTCATTGATATAGTTTCACATACGTTTTCACGTTACATTCAATGACTGCATTTTTGATTAGTGCTCAAACGATGCAAAAGTAATATTTTATATGGCCTTTGTGTGCATTGTAACAAGTTTATCTATATTTTGGAGTCTCGAACAAAAATAGTAGAATTTTGATTGAAATGAATTTTATACAAGAAAGCTTTTATAAATTCTATTGTTGCAAATTGGCTAAGTTTAATTTACTTGGACAGAGAATGTACCTACAGATTAAGTCAGCAGTCAAAAGTTCTTAAAAAATTTATTGAATTGTGAAACTAAAATTCAATCAAAATAAGAACTGTGAGACTCCATACCTATTAATAGACAATATTATATTTTTTGACTTAAACAAAAAATGAAGGATTTATAATTTTTCATAAGTTAATATCGGATAGTACATAATTAACGTAAAATTTTGTATAACATTATACGACCTGCTGCTGTTGAGTCCGGTGGAGGTTGAAAGTGATAAGTGGCTGCAAACCCCTGGCCTGGTGATGCCGAATTTGCTGTAAATTGTAGAAGTAACGAGGGACCTGTTGATAACACCTCGAAGCCTGTGGATAAAATACGATTGTTAGAATGAAATTACAATACAATGTTAGAATAACAGTTATAAATGTGGCAAATATAATATGGTAGAGTTTTATATCGAATATTATTATATATTTCACAAGCAGAACATGCAGCTTCGCCTGCGCCTAAACTTCCAATCGCTACTAATCTTCACAGGATCATCCGCGCGTATTTTTAATTGGTTCGATTAGGTACTTGTTCAGGTAAGCTTTTTTTTACTACATAGTATAAAACAAAGTCGCTTCCCGTTGTCTGTCTGTCCCTATGTATGCTTAGGTCTTTAAAACTACGCAACGGATTTTCTTTCGTTTTTTTTAATAGATAGAGTGATTCAAGAGGAAGGTTACTACCATACTATACTAAAGTATATAATTTGTTAAGGTTTTATACACACATATACATTGGCTACAATATAACGATATTTGTTGGATGTGTCGGAAAAAAATAAGCCGTCTGGGAGCTTTCAACGAAAACGCTGCCTAAACATTTCGAGATACAATAAAATAATGTATGGTGGAATTGTGTATTTTATATGGGTCTACAGAAAAGTCAAAAAAATACTATATCCATTTGAATTTAAAACGTACTTAGGGTAGAAACCAAGCGAAGCAAGGGCGAGTCGCTAGTTTAAAATAAATAAATGCAGATAATATTTTTTTTTATATAAAGGAATTTTTCCTTTAAGTCAAGCTTCAATATTTAAGGTACTTTTCTTCAAGGTCCCATCCATTTGTTCAAAAAATCTGTATGAATTCTGCAGATACCTTGGTTAAGAATCGAACCTGTGATCGATAAAGTCATAAAGCCAAGCTCAATGAGAATGATTAAAAGATCTAAAATTATTAATTTAATATCAATATTAAAATTTTAATATGCAACAAGACTTTATATTGGGTTAAAATTCTGTTTTGTATTTATACTACAGCTCTAATTTAAGCCGCACTTTACTGACAAAAACGAATAAGCAACACCGTTTGAATACAGAACACTGGCATTAGGCAGTGAAGTGAGGACAGCAATCACGACTGGGCTACTGACGAAATGTATTCATAGGGTGGCTTCTATTCACTCCGAATAAATGATACGGATATAGGCCTTGACCGTTTGTATTTTTTAGTAATACAATTCAATTTTTAAATTGATTATTTTAAGATTATTTAGATTATTTTATCTCGGCCGATATGAAAATTAAAAAAAAATAACCCGACTTCCAGGCACTAAAATGTAAAAAATAACTAAACGGAGGTTTTCATTTAGAATAGATACCTAATTAGATATTTTCGAAGTCGGTGTCAGCCGATCCAAAGCAAATCTAATATATTTCGATACGAAAGATACATATTAACCTATTAGATATCTTAAAATATTGGTAGAAATGTTTGGGTGAATGCCGTGCTTTTTAACCGACTGCGACATAAAGGAGGGTAATGTGTTTATCAGTCTATGTATGTATGTACGTATGTACATCTCGCGGCAAGGATGAAAATTAAATTTCTATAACATACATAAATTATATTTTTAACGTTGAGTAGAAATTTCATTGAGTCACAAATTTATACTTGGAAAATGCAGACTAACATTTTGCCCAATTCAAAGGAGTACCACGAAAGTTGAATCTGATACCTTTGGTAACTGATGACAACCGAATCTGCCACCACGCTCTGATGGTCATGATTAGAACTTATGGTTGTATGATTATACAAGCACTCTGCTGATTAATTAAGAGTTCAAAAAATTTAATATTTAAAATTCCAGTTCTACTTTGCATTTGAAAGAAACTTTTTACCACAGTCTTCACAAAGGAAATAGTTTTCTTTTAAACTAGAACTTGCTATATAAGTTTACTAGCGGACCCGACAGACGTTGTCCTGTCTACACGTCTTTAATTTGAAAATTTCAAACTTTTTTTAATAATTTTTTTGATGAAAATTATTATTCAAATTGTGAATCTAAACCATTCCCAGATCCCCTTGAACACACACAAACAATTTCATCAAAATCGATCCAGTCGTTTGAGAGAAGTTCAGTGACATACACACTCACAGAAGAATTATATATATAAAGATTACTAAACGTATAATAATGTTACTTTTGACATATTCCTAACATAAATAGAGAAATGCTCTAATAATAACAAAGAAATAGATAAATAACGAACGGTACATTGCAATAATTACATTATTGCTTTAGCGTGACAGAATACAAACAGATTACTAATATCTTTAAGAATTACCTCATCGCGTACGTGACTTTTTTTTATATTTAACTAGTATAGCCCGCGGCTCCGCCTACGTTCAGATCGCCAAAAACCAAATTCTTAGGTTTTACATTAGTATACTCTTACATTTTTGTCTTTTTTCTCAGAAATGAGATTTTTTCCCGCGGTACAAAGTATCCTATATGTTGACCCGGATAACCAGCTACCACCATACCAAATTTCATCAAAATCCCTCCAGTGGTTTTTCCGTGATGCGGTAAAAGACAGACAGACAAAAATTTTAAAAAGTATAGATTCACCCTCTGTATCGATAATAATGTTTATTTCAATTTATTATTTAAATACAGGGTGTTGAAATTAGAAAGTGAAGTGAACGACGTGATATTTAACTCAATGCGATTTTCAAATATCTTTTAAGGGCTGACACATAGCGTTAAAGGAATAAACTAAATTATTTGTTTTATTTACATATTGTTTTGATAATAAATTCTTGTACCTTAATTAATTAATATTAATTAATATTAATTAATATTAAACCATTAATTAATATTAATTTTTACAACAATTTTCTTTTCATAAAATAAAATGTAGCCTATATAACTTCTACTATTATAAATTCTATATATATTATGTATAATAAAATTGTAACTAAGTCGAATCTGTATATTAAATATTTTTTTGGAAAATCTTATTGAAATAGACATTATTATGACAGAAGCCGAATCGATAGTCTTTAGAATTTTTGTCTGTCTGTCTGTTACCGCATCACGGAAAAACCACTGCAGGGATTTTGATGAAATTTGATATGATGGTAGCTGGTTATCCGGGTCAACATATAGGATACTTTTTACTGCGGGAAAATATCTCATTTCTGAGAAAAAATACAAAAACTGCGATGTAAGAGTATACTAATATGTAAAACTAAAGAATTTGGTTTTTGGTCATCTGAACGCAGGCGGAGCCGCGGGCAATACTAGTATAGTATAAATGAATACAAATTTATGTCAGAAAAAGTTATTTGTATTTATTCAGGCTATTAAGCTTAGAAATATGTGTGTCTGATCAGCCCTTTTAACGTCACACTGCTGGGCACGGGTATAGTCCACCACTCTGGTCAAGTTCGGGTTGGCAGACAGACGAGAGTAGATTAGAAATATGTAATACTAGCTAGTAACCATAGAAAAACAAACCTATACCACGGGAACCGTACCCTTCTCCGGGATAAAAAGTTACCTATGTGCTATTCCAGACTATATTCTATCTCTGTACCAAATATCATCCAAATCCGTTCAGCCGTTCTGGCGTGAAAGAGTAACAAACATCCACACTCACAAACTTTCACATTTATAATATTAATAATACGGATATGTTACGAACGTATGAGTGGAATGAGAGCCAGAGAGAGCTAATATCATAATAAAATTATTTCGAGCAGCAAGAGAAGTTATCCTATGCTACGAGTATTATTCACCTATCCAGTTTCTAGATTGTTTGGAATTAGTTGCTTTCTGGTGTACGATGATAAGTGTGGGTTTACTCGATGACAGGCATTTATGTTCAGTCTCTGCGAGCTTTGGATCTGGAGAATGGTATTATACAGATTTTCGGGCTTTCAGCTTGTACTTTGAGAAAGCTTTTACTGTTTGAAAGTAAATTTCTTCTACATAATATCCATGTTGAATATTGTAATGTTAATATTTTATTATTTTTGACTTTTTGTCTCTCTTTCGCAGTAAATCTTATTATATTTGTAGCACTATGCTTCATTGGATCCATAAGATTTTTATTTCTTAAAAACAGGTTTTCTACGAACACGCTTCCGTATTAAATCTCATTAATGGATATTATAAATGCGATAGTTTGTGAGTGTATTTGATAGTTATTTCTTTACATTGTAACGACTCAACAAATTTAAGTGAAATCTGGAATAGAGATAACTAGGTATTTTATCGTTCATAATTTACACAGGTAGTGGAAGCTAAGTGATAACGAGCTTGCTTGGGTAACCGAGTGAAGCGAGTTCAAAGTTCGGGTTACGCACCTCTGATATATCTCATGTGCGAATCATTTTTCAAAATAATTATAACTTGCTTTATGGCGAAAGAAAACATCGTGATAAAACCTACCTGTGGGAACCTAACAAGTTTTTGAAAAGTATATGAAGTCTGCAAATCCGTATTTGGCCAGCGTGTTGGGCTATGGCGTGATCCCCATCACCTTGAAGGAAGGCTCGTCCTCAGCAGTAGGACGTTGATAAGGGCTAATAATATACCACTATATACTATTAATAACTGAGTGAGTATCAAACCCGTAATTTGTACTTTGATAAACAGCTGATCAAATACACTCTTAAAGGTCGTAGCTATATGTGATTAGAGAACGTATTAACTAAAAATTTCAAAGCAATTTCTTTACACAGAACAAAAAAACAGTAGCCCTGACGAACTAAAAGTCGATTTCACCTCGACGTGGCATTATTCATTCAAAAGCGTACTGCGACTGAGGTGGCGTCGCAATAGTAATATAGAACGGAAAGTGTATTAGAAACTGTCATTATATTGATTGATTTAATTGAACTTGGTTAATATTTGGGGCTTTATTAAATGGAAACAGAACAAAATATAATGTTTTAAATAAATAAATATGTATATCCTTATGTCAAGACTAGCGACTTACCCTCGCTTCGCTCGCGTTCGACTCTACGTACGTTTTCATGTTTTTGAGCGGAACCCTAATTGTTTTTTCTAAAATAAAAGTAGCCTATGTTAATCCCTATAACATCAGCTATCTTCCAGTGAAAGTCCCGTCAAAATCAGTCCGCGGTTTCAGAGATTATCCGGAACAAACAGAGAGACAGACAGACAGACAAAAATAAAAAAATGTGTTTTTCTTATAAGTACCATATATAATTTCATACGCATTTAGTAAAGCGCTATTATTTTAACATTACAAATAGATACTTCAACTTTAATTATCTGTATAGATTTGTTGTAATTATTATTTTTTATATAGAGTTACTTTTCCTCAAAGCTTCATAGGCTATAAATAACCTGTATTTTTATCATTAATAAAAGGATCTATAAAATTTAATTTCTAAAATGCTGACAAGTTTATATTAGATATTTTTCTGCTGTTAAATTATTAAAAATATAATATTATTTTAAAAACTAGAATGGTATTCATTAATAAGGAAATATCCCGCAAACCAAAATTCTATATTCTCTAGTAAATATAATTGTTAAAAGTAACAATTATAATATTTAATTTGTTATTATCATAAGCTTAGACAAAAAATGTATAATAAATTAGAAAAGCTAGTTTAACATACAAATCCAACCACAGCAGTTATTGTTATGGGTCATGGGTACGATAATGTGGTAGGTCATGTTAAATCTACACATTTCCCTACATTTCTCTTGTCAGAAATTCGTATCTATAGAAGCCTTTACTCGATCGATAGCATACAATGAAATCGTGGCTTCAAAGTATATTGCGAGGAATAACTCATTTCATATGTATGGAGGGAAATACTGCCACTATAAAATTGGAAATGGCGTTAGAAACCTAGCTGTATAAATTCTACTTGTAGAAGAAAATTGTAGTTTTATGAAAGGTGTCATGTAGTGTAGTTAAACATTTTAGTAGGTAAAGTTACGAATGAATAAATTATTCTGTGAATTGATATTAAAAGATAAAATAAAAAATCTTTATAATTTGCAGAACTTAAATAATATTTTTTCAGCTTTAATTTTAATTTAAAACAGATTAAGATTTTTTTATTTTTTAATCTGGATATTTGACAAACGTTTCAAAGTTTCGTACTTGGAATTTTTTTAAGAAAAGAAAAGAAAAAGGATTTTCGCAGCTTAAGGATTAAAAATTTTATATATTTTCTGTTACGGGCGTCGACATATAATTATAATAGCCAAGTCATTAGTTAAACCTCAATTTATCCTAGTACAGCAATGTGTTCTTGAGGATAATATGTTGGGACATTAGCACACAACACCATCTAGGTGGTATCATGGTAAGCTACGAGGCTTGTGTTATGGATACCAGATAGTAGATACAATACACATATATAACTTTAAATACATACATATTTTAAATAAAACTATCTTTTCGGATTATTTCGCGGATTTGTTATGATTTTTGGTTCTCGACGTTTCGAATGTTTTACAAATTGTTTAAAGTTAAAAAAATATTGTAAGGTAATTGGTGCAATTTTCATTTTGTTAATTGTGGGTAGGCTGTCTGTAACAACTATACCCTCGAGACATGTAACACCTCAGTCTCTCCAGTGACCATGGATGCTGTAAAGCATTCGAAACGTCGGGAACCAAAAATCAAAATAAATCCGCGAAATAATCCGAAAAGGTAGTTTTATTTAAAATGTCAAATATTCGCGTAAATCTAAGAAAGTATTACAAACATATTATAAATATAAACACCCATGGCTGGAGTACAAACATTCGTGCTCATCACACAAATTAATGCCCCCAGCGGGACTCGAATCCGCGACCGCTGGCATAGCAAGTACTACACTACAAACTGTGCCAAATGTATTGTGAAAGGACAGCATATAGAAATTAATAAATAAGTAGAAATACTTAAAGTCGTGGTTCACAGTGACTATTATAACGCTTACTATTGAAAAATTTCAACAGAATTGAAAAGTAGAAGCATACTTCGACATTATGATGGATCGTGCTTGCTTTGTAGATAGCGTAGTTTATATTAAAAGTTGCTCGCGTTCCCTCGAGTGCCATACACGCTTTGCTACATCAGATAGGTAATTCAATAAATGTCACAATGAAAAATTATCCAGACACCACAGGCCTTAAACTACTTCCCTCTCAAGAGGTAGCTCTTCATGCTACATTAACTCCGTGCTTAACAAGATACTGAATTATGAAGAAGTGGTAGCAGTATATACATATATATACATACATATATATATATGTATATATATTAATAAGATAGACAGATATTTTTAATTTAGTTAATACTAGTTAATAGGGTATTATTACGTTAAATATCAACATAGAAATGGTACATTTTCAAGTAAATTAACATTCTGCTATCGTACTAACTCTTAGGCGTCATTTTTCTAATTGTATTGTTTCTTTTTGTGTTCATCTATAAAATAGTAATGTTTTTCTTAAATTCTCTTAGTTTTTAATGTTCATTAGTCACATAAGTTATTTTAATTTGGTGAAGATAAATTGCGACTCTGTAAATCATCATTCTATATCGGTTACCAGCAAATTCAGGGGGAAAAAAAATGAATTTATTTTAATAATTATTTTCTCTATAAACTTATGTATAAAGCGTAAATTGTTATTATTTTTATTTTCTTCCTGTACTATATAAAGATAATCCTTACTTAAAACGTATGTCTAATGTTTTGTTAGTATTTTTTTACCGATAACAAAAATCTTTCATTGGTAATACCTAATAAAAATCAGGTCTTAAAAACACAAAGAGAAACTTCACTGTCAGTCATTAACATTTTATGTTTTCTATAAAATTTAGTTAAAAGAAAATCTCGAAAAAGGAAGCCAATAGCAAGATTTTTCGTTTTGCTTTCCACGTTTACGTTAACATTGCATTTCACTGACAACATTATAGACACGATATTGAGAGGTTTTTATAACATTATTTTTATTCAACTTTATTTATGTTCTTTAAATAAAGATATTTTAAATCTTAATAAAGTATTTTTTTGTGTATTTTTATATAAACACTAGCGCCTCGCCCTCGCTTCGTTCGGGTTCATCTCTAGTTAAGTTTTAACGTTTAGTATAGATTTCTCAGAGATGAGATTTTTTCCCGCAGTAAAAAAATACCCGGAGAGCCAGCTATCTTCATACCAAATTTCATTAAAATACAACAAGTATTAATACACACATTTATCCTTTACAGGAATCAAACTTTCAATGTGTGAGTTTATTTAAATGCATTGTTGTTACATGATTTATCATATAAATTAATACGAAATATAACAAATATTTTTATATTGAACTGACTGACTGTATATAGAAATTCTTAGTAAGAAAAAAATCCGGAGAACAAGATTGGTTCAATGTATTTTATAGAATATTGAAAAAAAATATATCAATATAAAATATTATACTTTTTAAAAGAGGAGATGAGATTGGACTAATTATCGTACCGTTACTTTATAATTGCTCTTGCATAAACAAAATATAAAAATCGGCCTAATTCGAGCCATACTCGCGTATCAAAAGGTGTGTTTTAATATGTCACGTATATATATTTATGAAGTTTGATAATAATGAATAGCGTTTACAAGCCATAGAGGTGGACTTACACTTTTCATACAATTTATTTTAGGATTTTTTGATGCTGTATATATTTTCGATTTTACGATAGAATATCTATATAAATATTATAAATGTGAAAGTTTGTGAGTATGGATGTTTGTTATACTTTTACGCCAGAACGGCTGAACGGATCTGGATGAAATTTGGCACAGAGATAGATTATAGTCTGGAATAATACAAAATCAAAAATAAAGAATAATCAAAATCAAATAAAAAATAAAGAAAATTAAATAAAAAAAAGAATAATCAAAGCAAAAATAAAGAAGCAAAATTTTTAGATCCCCTTCATCTTTTACCTTCTTATAGATTGTTAGAAAGTCCACTGTAATAACATTTCTTTTTTTCAACTATGAAATGAATATTTGATAATATATATGTCAATTCAAAATATATAGCCAAAAGACGGGTATGAAATGGCAGACGGATAGACAGCGTTGGATTAATAATTTAACAGGTCTGTCTGGACCCTTATCCTAAAAAGTGAATTTTTAGCAATAGAAAGATAAAAGGTATTTGAAAATAAAAGGTGTTATCTCATTTACCTGTGAGCTCGTTACAAAGCATGGCTATTGCTGGTGCATTGGTATCCTTCCCGTCGAACACTTTGATGATGTCCGCTCGGCGTAGGCAACTGTAAATAAGCTAAGATTAACATCGTTAAACTCGCACAGTGAAATCGATCGAGAACGGCTATGCAATTTGCATTCTGCTCATAATTTAAACTCGTAGGTTTCAGTTGAATGACTTAGTTATGACAACTTTCATTAAGTCTGACGCAAAAGGAGTGAGAGTTAGTAAGTTTAACGTATCTATCTATTCGGATTTTGTCGCGGATTTATTTGTATTTTCGACGGTGTCTATCTACATATGTGTCTGTCTGTAGCATCATAGCACCCAAATGTATTAATAGATTTTAATTTTTTGTTTTAAAGGTCACTTGAGTGTTTTTAGCTGTTATGAATTAAGAGAACCCCTTTCAGCCGCTATTAACTGTTTTGCGGACAATAAAAGGATATGAGCAACTTCCACGGATCTAATCCATTCGAAACTTAGTATCCCATTACTTTAATGACATTGCAACGACATGGTAACCTTGGCCTGCTGCAGCAGCGTCATATAGAATCTGCAGAATAAATCAACTATTTACTAAAATATTGCACAGATGACGTGTTCAGGCTTATTGAAATTACCTCAATGAATAGGCTATTGGGTTGGATTTTACATCAATTTAAATTTAATTTCTTGTTACTATCTTACGTTAGTATTGAATTTGGAAAATATATGAGATTTAGAGTTTTATTTAAGTTTAAATTTTATCTGTTCCCAGAAATAGGTACTGTGCATTTGAAAACATAAAGAAACACATATATATATTTATATATAAATACAAATTAAACATCGAGTGTATACAAAATCGAATATACTGTTATTGTACACGTTTCATCTATTGGCTTTTGTTCGAAACACCGTATCAATAGAACACTGGTATCATTCCCTATAAATTAGCTGAAGGTTGAGCTTCATTAAATTCTCACTTTACTGCGAATGAGCCGTTGTATTAAACGATATAACAGGTAATATTGCATTATTAAATGGTTGTTATTCTATTGTTTTTTATTTGTTTGATAATTCAACACATGCACATGGTATACACACGTACACGCGCACATTCACACACAGCACACATACAAAAAATCATTGCTGTGTCGGTTTTGAACTTATATTTAAATAATGTGATTAAATTAGAATGAAACGAAATGGCAGAAATATTATGCAAAATATTTTATACCAAAATGTCTTAATTGGCGATCTTCGTAATGACGTACGTTAGTTATTTTACAATGTATTATAAGTAAATGCTTAAAATAATTTACCAGAACATGATAGTGACATGACTATATATGAATAAAGTTAGATTTTAGTATATTTGTAAGTTTTATTTTGCTAATCTTCTTCTAATCTAATATATAAAATTCTCGTGTCACAGTTTTCGTTGCCATACTCCTCCGAAACGGCTTGACCGATTTTGATGAAATTTTTTGTGCTTATCCGGTATCTATGAGAATTGGCCAACATCTATTTTTCATTCCCCTAAGTGATAAGGGTGGTCCACCCCAAAAAAAATGTTATGATTCGGCATTAAAAATACATACAAACCTAAATTTTCACTAGGGACGAACCCGAGCGGAGCGAGGGTGAGTCGCTAGTAATATATGAAAGTCCCGTGTCACGGCTTTGGTCCGCGATGAACTTCGTGAGTACTCATCCGATCTTAACGTATTTTCAACCGACTTCAAAAAGGAGGAGGTTCTCAATTCGACTGTATGTTTTTTTTTTTTTTTTTTTATGTTTGTTACCTCAGAACTCCGTCATTTATTAACCGATTTGGACAATTTTTGTTTTGTTTGAAAGGGTATACTTTCAGATTGGTCCCATTTAAATTTCAAAAAAAAATACCACCCCTAAGGGTGGAAAAACAACTAATGATGAATTTAACCTACTTCTAATTGTCATATTGACTTGAAACTTTGCAAGTATTTCTATTTCCGTTGATAGTACAGTGGTTCGGTGTTGTTGACCTGATCTGATGGCAAGGCCAGAAGGTGGATAGGTAGAACTCTTCAACGGCTAATAGTAGATACTTTGAGTTTGGGCTTATTTTGTTTGATTTGACAAGCCTAACACGTTAGAATCCTTACTTTGCTACTACTGTCTACACTAAAAAGGGAAAAATAAAAACTTTTTAACAAAAAAATAAAAACCGACTTCAAAAAAGCACTAAAAAGTAAAAAATAACTGATTGGTAGTTTTCATTTACTATACATACCTAATCAAATATTTTCGAAGTCGGTGTGCTTTGGCTAAGTAATTAAAGCCTACCTATTAAATACATACCTAATCAAATATTTTCGAAATCGGTGCCAGCCCATACAAAGCAAAGCACACCGACTTCGAAAATATTTGATTAGGTATGTATAGTAAATGAAAACTACCAATCAGTTATTTTTTACTTTTTAGTGCTTTTTTTTGAAGTCGGTTTTTATTTTTTTGTTAAAAAGTTTTTATTTTTTTCAAAATGTCTGATTTGTTCCAAATTAAAAAAAGGATAGTTTTAGTCCCGATTATTTTCAACAGACAAACTAAAATTCTACTATCGTTGAAATTTCGTAATTTAAATTGCTATACTTATGTTGTACCTGAAGCCATGTCCATTAGGTTTGTTCAAATAAGATTCCTCTAGCTAGAGAAACTGACTACGGAACAAATTAAATCAAGGCTAAGTGATTTCTTGATAAGTTAAGTCTACTTTAGAGTAAGCACTGTAACATCTTCTGTAGTAGCTTTATTTTTGTTTTTTTTTATCCTTAAGAAGCAATGTGTACTCTTAAGTAGGTACTCAACGTCGTTAAAGTTAAGTATAATATATTTCAAAAGTTAAGTTTCATAAAGTTAAATATATTTCAAAAGAGGTATAAAAATTAGTAACTTTAAATCGAGCCGCAACAATGTCATATGTGAGTTGATAGCTATAGCGAAGGTAGAAGGTTCGATTTCCGTAGATAACTATTGATTTTAATAGTTCATTTTAATTTTGGGTGAAATTGAAAGGCTATAAGAATGATTTGCCCAAAAGGTCTGAAACTATATGAATACTTATATATTTATTTTATACATATAACATTAGTTTAAAAACTATACAAAATTAATTTAATGAAATTTACAGGTGAAACGGTTCAAAGGTAGATTCGTATACAAGCACTATAATATGCTGTCTCTATAGTGCTGCGTAATTGAATGACGAATGAACTGACTCCATTAATGAGTCTTATTATACAATATCTACTTATTTAATTAACTGCTATATTGCATTTGTGATTGTTCCAATTTAAATTTATTTGACCAAAATATTTTTTTTACTACAGGATATTTGGACACATTCACCTTCCGGAGTTTTATTTATAATGACAAATTATTTTTATTTTTTTTATTAAATTTTTCATTACATTTTTAAAACACTAATCTAAACACAAATAGCGCAATAAAAACCATGTAGGTATAATTTTCCCGTGCACTGCGTAAATATTAGAAAATAGTATTTATTCATTTACGGTTTACTATTTGCACATTCACGGTTTTTTTAATGTTGATTTTCGATTTCTGGCAATTTCGAATGTTTTACACTAAAGATGATCAAGGGGAGTGTGTTTGATGTCACAATTGTAATTCTTATTTACAACAGTGTTAAAACAAAGAATAAAACAATAAGAGAGAGTTATAAAAGTACCTAACAATTTTGCCTATAGTACCTCACAAGTACGAATAGGGATCGGTATTTCTTACACCAAAAATCTAAATAAAACGCGAAAAATCCGTAAAAATAATTTTATTTCAATATCAACTATTATGTTAAATTAAGAAAGTATTAAAGCTAGATGAAAAAAAAACAAATGCTAATTATTTAACTAATTTAAAGTTTAACGACAGCCTTTCATCATATTTTTTTATCTAACTAGAAGACTCGGCCACGCGTTGCTGGCACACAAATGAAAACGGACTAAAACTATTCTATTTTTTAATTTGGAACAAATCAGACATTTTGAAAAACGTTAAGATCGGATGAGTACTTTCGGAGTTTATCGCGGACCAACATCGACTCACGGAAATTTTATATATTGAGAAGATTAGCAAAATAAAACTTACAAATATACTAGAATCTAACTTTATCCATATAGAGTCATGTACACTATCATGTTCTGGTAAATTATTTTAAACATTTGCATATATTAGATAAACAAGTATAGATTTAATTAAACGTTACAACCGCGTAGTGCTGACCACGAGTACCGCACGCCGCGTCCCTGACGGTATGTAATGAGTTAGGTAATAATAAATTAATGGACCGAAAAGTGGTTCTGAACTAATAACGCTTTAATTGAATTATGAATTTAGATTTATATTCCTGTAATCGGGTTATCATTTAGAACGTCAACCGCGCAGTTTATGTCTAACACTAGCGACTCACCCTTGCTTCGATTCGGGTTCGTCCCTAGACAAAAACAAATCTATCCCACGGGAACCATACATTTTTTCGGGATAATATATAGGACTATAGCCTTCCTCAACAAATGGGTTATCTAATGCAATTTTTTTCAAATCAAATTAGTAGTTCCTGAGATTACCGTATTCAAACAAACAAACTCTACCTCTTTATAATATTAGTATAGATTGCCATATTAAAATAACCTAAATGTAAATAAATAAAATTGAATATAATTTTTGTACTTTACTAGGTGGGCATAATTTTTATAATTTACTTTACATCCAGGCTTTGTATACACACAAGAGATTTTCCATTATGTGAATATCAGACATTCCGTCTAGATATAATCAGTGCCAGTTAACCACGTAGCAAGAGTAGCAATTGCTACGGGCCCCGCGCAAAAGGGGGCCCCGCATTTTAAACAAAATTTTTGAGTGAAACTTATTACGTCACACCTTTTTCTACTAATAGACCAATCGGAATCCGCTTATTTTTAAGAGAAAAAATAATATATTGAAAACCTGAAGTTTTATGATTTTAAAATGTTAGTAGGTATATAAGGAATTCAAATTCGTAAATGCCCACTATGGCCAGCTACCCCCAAGATATGGCGGGACGCAAAGCGTTGAAAAATAGTTTTTTTTTTCAATTTCCTTAAGGTTTTCAATATTTTTTTCTCTTAAAATTACGCGGATTCCGATTGGTCTAAAAATAAAAAGTTAGCTATTTCTAAAAATATAATGTACTTTGTATTAAATATAAATACCTTAGGTCTTTGCGCTTCGCTCGGAGTTTTGGCCAAAAGTAAAATTAAAAAAAAAAAACTAAAAACTACAAAAATAAAACAAACGTCACTTTTCAATTGTTATTTTCTTATCAACACCATCCTAAATTGCGAGGAATTCTCATCTCTGGCTTTTTCTACTTGTCAGAGCCTAACAGAGCCTATAGAAATCTACTGTACTATTGTAACCTATAGATGGCAAACAAGCGTATTGAGGCCTGAGGTATTGAGTATTGAATTTTTTTTTACCAGTTTATACCCCGCGGCCCCGCGCTTTCTTAATCTGGCACTGGATATAATATAAATTAGGTGAAATCTTTGATCGAGTCTGACATAAGGCTCTTCTGTAGAAGTTACGTTCATGAGAAACGTCTTATGAGAAACTGTATAAATGGGTCGCTAGCTTTCTGGGCGCTGAACTAAGGTCATAATTGACGGTATGTGGTACGAACGACAGTAGAGTGCCCCAAAACTCAGTGTTATTGCTATTTATATAATAAATATATTGAAAACTTACGATATCCACTACAAGTACATGGAAATAGTGGATTAACTAAGCAGACATGTCTCGAGCAAAACGAATCGACATAAGACACGAGGTAGAAAGAAACAAATTCGAATTTGTATCTGAAATGGTAACTTTCTTAGCAGGAGATACAACACGAGGTATAACAAAACAAATTCGACCTTGTCTAGAAATAGTGCCTTTCTTAGCAGGTCTCAAAATGGAAGCCACACAAGAATATAAAGAATGTTCACTACTAAAAAAAACTATTTTATCGCCAAAGTTTCCCCTCCCCTTAAATACTCCCCTTATTATTTCTAAGAGAATGTTAGAAGTCGAGATAGTAAGTGAAAAACAGGATAAACATCTCGTTTTACATCATAAAAACATTGTCAGTGATCATAAAACCTAAAGACTTACAATACATAAGTATACAAGAAAATGAAATTGAATAACTGTGTAAATGTTAGTACTATAAGAACCTGTTAGATAAATAAAACAAAAGTACATAAACGGATAAAAGTATTGAATCCATCTTCATATATCTTGTCCCATATATATTTTACAAATATTACACTGAAAGTAGTATAACAAGGTTATGATTTTTATACGATATACTTCTTTGAGACTATTGGGAATTTTATGGTAAAACTCGTAAAGTTTTGTGAGTGGAAATAACAGAATAGTTATGTGAACACCAAAAATGGGAGCTCACAAATAAGTGTATGATGATTAATATGACTTACCTACATTTTAGGCAAATCTGTATAGTTTAAATAAAGTAAAATATTAATTATTAATTTTATAGATTTTGTAATTCAATTTAATTCAATTCTCTTATTAATGATTTCAAAGCGTGCCAGTTGAGCACTGATTATTTCGCCAGTCATCACGTAGATTGAAGAAGACACGAAGGAGATTGGTAGATTTTATATTGCTCTTTTAAAACATTTATGTATTTATTATGTACATAGTATATATTATGTATAGTTAATGTTAATGTCTGCTTAATTGCATGGCTGATTTAATATTGATTCGGTTGAACTTGAACAAAGCGAATTTGGATGATTTTTTTTGTAATTTTCGTATGAAACATCATAATAATTATTAATAATTATTATTATGTTAAAAATAAATATATTGACAAGAGAATAAAGTACCCGATAGGTTGGGTTGGTTATGAAAGGTAAGTAGAAAGACAGGTGTCAATTAAAAACAAATAATTATATGTAAATAATTTAAAACGCATTCACTTCTTATTAAAGAAGGCATCATTTTATTACTATACTAGCGACTCACCCTCGCTTCGTTTGGGTTTCATCCCTTTTTTTTTTTTTTAACGTTGGGAAATGCATTTACGCACGACGTGTGGGACTCACCGGCGTAATACAGCCAGTACTACCCACTAAAACCCAACAAAACCTTCCCCCGTCTTAATGGGGCGTCGCAGGATCGTTTACGCATTCAACTACGACGCCCCGACGGCAGGTCTGCCAAAGCAGACCACCACAACCAAGGCGTTGCTCCAAGGTCCACTCTGCTATCAGAGAAGTACCAGGAGCAACCCGCAAGGTACACCGCCCCCCGAAGAGGGCCACCTCCCACCGCCCACCGAAGTGGGCAACCTCCCTGTGCGTTTCTTAGCTTCGCTACTACTACTGAGCCCCCCCACCACGACAAGGTGAACACACGTTGGGGGGGGTGGGTTTCATCCCTAGGGTATGTATATAACTTCCCTATTTGAATCGGATATTATTAAATTTTTCATTGGGTTTAATTTTTTTTCGTGGGGACGCTATTTTTTTTTTAATAAAAGAAGCTTAAGTTACTCCTTATTCCATGAGCTATCTGTCAGTGAAAGTCCGTCAAAATCGGTTTAGCCATTTCAGAGATTAGCCGGAACAGACAGACAAAAATTTAATTTATAATTTACAATGTCAATACAAAATTTATTGTGTAATCGAAATTTATTTTAAAATATATCCAAAAATAACATTAATAATTGAATTAATAGTATAAAAAATGTTTTAAAACACAATAAAATCGAAAGTGCATAATATTTAACACCATTCAGACAAAGAAAGACAATAGCATTCCCAAGGAGGGTTGACGTCAGGCAGGCGGCCGGTTGTAAAACTTTTGCCAAATCCTATCAGCAGTACACTGAAGATGTACTGCGCCGACCCCAAGTGATTTGGGAAATGGGCAGGGAGAAGAAGACAGACAAAAATTGTAAAAAAATGTTGTTTTGGTATATGTATCGTGTATCATGTAAAAAGCTGCTATTTTGACATTTCAAACAGACACTTCAATTTAATGTATCTGTATCAATTTGTTTTTGAGTAATGTTACCATCGTATAAATATTGACAAATATTGACATTAATATTTATACGATACTAACGTCACTCAATTGTTTTGCCTTCCCGGAACCTCTCCACTAACACTTAAACTTTATGGTATGGTATTAAAGCTCAAATTGACTTTTAGGTATTATTATGAATCTTTTGAATGAGAGTATAGAAAAGTGTTGTTTTTAGACATTTTTAGGCATTTTTTTAAAATTTTGTCTCCGTAAGAACCATACTCGTACTTCAAGGAATATTCTAAAAAAGGAATTAGCGAAATCGGTTCAGCTGGTCTTGAAATTTACGCATAGCAACACATTCAGCGATTCATTTTAATATTATAGAGATAATCTTGTGTTTGATAATTCGTGGAAAGTTCTTTAAGCTCTATTGAAATCTACCTTATTCACTATATTTATCAGATTCGGTATTCTCAGATTTCCACGTATTTCTACAATTACAAATCTGTCTAGAGTAATATAATCAGTTCTTGACAAAACTATTAAAATAATGTATTTTAATTTTATCTAGCTTTTCACTCAAAGAACGTAGTTTTGAGTTCGAAAGATTATGAACTAGATCAAATCAAATCAAAATATTTTATTCAGCATTAAATTATTACAATTTTTTACTGAACTTCATGAGTCTACTACCAGTTACTAGAATTATAGTAACAAAAATAAATGCTCAACGTTTTAAGAAATTCTCAAAAATCGGTATTTACCTAATAATTTATTAAAAAAAATATGTTTGCTAAACATTAAAATGTTATAGATATTATATGCCTATTATTTGCGATGATATAAAAATTCTATCATTTATTCGTGTAGAAGGTAGTTTATCACGCATACCAAATCCAATATTCACGTTGTAGGCTAAATGAAGCGATGTTCGTATAAAATACAATTTTCTACGCACCTTATATCCCCCTTTTGTAGAGAGACTTCTTCAAAAACTACCTTCACGCGATCCTTTGGCCTGAAAATAACAAGAGCTTGTATTACATATTGCTTTGCTATATGAGGTCAAATATGAGATGAGTATTGTATCGTATAAATAGGAAAATAATAAAACTATGTGTTTTTTTAAACAAAATGAAAAGAGTTAGAGAAAATAGAGATAAGAAAAAATAGAGTGTACATTATGACTTTTCTTATATAATAAAAATGGAATTACATAATAAAAATATACGTAACTAGTTTTCGCTCTTAGTTAAACTTGTATTAAGATGTCTTCATTTATTCGTTTACTAAAACGATATACTATTTATTTACATATATACATGCGTCTTAGGATGATAAATATTAAACACATATAGACTTTAAAACAAAGCAGAATAAGCTCATTAGAAACACGTAGGTTCTGGAAACTGACTGTAATGGGTTCAAAGCCAGGGCCTATTAAATGGTCTTGACTTGATTATTCCTGCATTAAAGGTATGCCCAGCAGACAGCAGAGAGAGGTTTAGAAGGCTAAATTATTATATCTAAAACATACCTAGCGTGAAAATGATAAGAGCAGCGCACATTATTGGGGTATATGGACGGGTATCTCGGGCTGTACAGGCGGCCATGAGTAGGTCGATTACTCGATCTGCTAAATTGATAGTCGCATTCTGTACCCGGTATCCTTACGCCTTCAGTCTCGAAGAGACCTGGAAAAGTATAACAAGTTAGTTCATGGTGAGTGCTATGTGAAAACTTATATTATGTTATTTACGAAAATCTTCTATATATAAAAGGCAAAAGTGATTGACGCACAGGCTAAATCCCTTAAGGCTAGAAAATTAAAATTTCGCACACGTATTCCCCATATGACGAAGGCATCCACTAAGGAAGGATATTTCAAGATTCAACGCCCAAGGGGGTGAAACAGGGGATAAAAGTTTGTATGAAACTTTTTATTCCTTGGACATATTTGCATGAAATTTCATATGAATTGAGTACGGCAAAAATAATGAGTTACGTATTACAAAAGCGTTTTCTAAAATTCAACCCCTAAGAGGGTAAAATAGGGGGTGAAAGTTTTCATGAAACCCACTTCTAGAGTTTTTTTTTGTAGTTTTAGTGCGAGCGAAACTGCGGATTCTGCTAGTCTCTAATAAAACTATTGTCTCGCACAAGACATTTTTAATATGCAAACTTTATACGTTTATGCTTAGTTATAAATTTCAAGTGATCATTTTTTTTGAAAGATTTTCCATTAATTTTACTCACTGCCTACAAATATTTATATGTACCAAGCTCCCATTAAAACCATTAGCTCTTCTTCATATATTTATTTAGTACATATAATAAAAAAGGTAGAAGATATCTTGAAAAAGGATACTACTTTGCAGTTTCGTTTTAAGTTTCGACATAATGTCAAATATAACAATACCCTATACAACATAATGTAGGTGAAATGCTAGTTCATTTCGGTGTTGCCTTCACCTTGTCAGGTTATAAAATGCCCTTTAGTGTATTAAATTATGAGGATCCAACGGTTTCTAGGTTAATTGACTCCCAGGTAACGTAGATAAAGCGAGATAAACAGAGCTCGTTGAGAGACCGAGTAATGTTTGCTCCCAAATATTATACGGTATCACAGTACAGATGTATCATGTTACTTGGATTTGTAAGTTACCTAGTAAAAACAGAGAAAATCAAGAGAGAAAATCAAGAAAAATCTATAAATCGAAAAGAAAAAAGGAGGTTTTAAATCAAATCGAGCTATACTACGGAAAACTAATTTGGCATAAAAAATTTACCAAAAGTAAAATTTTGTTCAAGTGCTGGTTTATGGAAACTTTACCATACAAAAACACTCTTATATAACAGTTTTAGTACTTGTGATATAAATAATGACGTAAAACAAAACCTTAATTAATAGCTATCTTAAAATTATTTTATATCTATACAATCATAATCAATTTATCATCATTCATGAATTCAATTTAAATAAAAAATTCAAGCTACAAAAAATACTCCTTGGCTTTATGTTATACAGCGACTCACGTTCGCTTCACTCGGAATCGTCGCTATGTATTTATATAATATACGAGTATATATATAGTTTTACAATAATGTATGGAAGTCTGCCCGATTTGTTGACATTTATGATTACAACTCTGCTTCCTTGGGTAGTAGCATGATGATATGTAGCCTATACCCTTCCTCAATAAACGGGCTATCTAATGCAAAACGAGTTTTTAAAATTGAATTGGTAGTTCCTGAGATTAGCGCGTTCAAACAAACAGACAAACAAAACGCATCTTTATAATATTATTATAGATTAAAAATATAAGTTAGAAACATTTATGTACATAGTATCTACGCATAAAAATAATCCTAACTTTAAGAAAAACAACTAAATAGAATGAACAAATGAAGTTGCGTGCTATAAATTAATTAACCAAAACTTTTATAAAATATCTTTACCAGATTCTTTCGACTTAACAATTCACGAAGTAAATGTAAACAAAAAGTTAATATTTGAATGCGAAGTTAATTTTCAAACTATACGTGTACTTATTCGAAAAAAATAAGCAATTAATAACTCGAGTTAGGAAAACTTCTGTAATGAAACCTGTGTAACAAGTGAATAACAATTGTATTAGCAAATTATTAGATGGTTGGTTATGTATATACTTCGTTTAACAACTTGGTTGAATGTAAGCTAAATTCGTATTACTTACACTTGATTTGTCGTAGAAAGGCGTCGAGCTCTTGCAAATTTGAATGAAAGCATTGGTGTGTAAAATGAAATAAGTTTTATGAAGCATAAATGTATGTATTAAGTTAATATCGATCCTTGTTTTTGACACCTTCCCTTTTATTTTTATGCCCTGATTGGGATCCTTAAGTAAATTAACTAAAATCCCACGGGACCCACAGGAAGTAAAGTAGTTTGGTACGAGTATTTCTCCGGTTCATAAACTATCTTTGTAGAAAATAGCTTCAATTCATTTTGCCGTTATTGTGTGAAAGAAGGATAAACAAGGAAGCATGCATTTCAAAATTCAAATATTCAATTCAAATTGCAAAAAAATGGGTTCCTTGTTCGACACATAATTTTTTTTTATGTACTCTAGCGATTCACAAAAATTCCATAAGAACATATTTAACGACAATGGGACATCGTCCTCAAATTGGACCTCAAGATAATCTCTTAATCAAGGAGTTGGGCTTTCTAAAAATGAATCCAATAACTATAAACTCAAGCTTTAAAATTCCTATTTGATTAATCCATTTAGCTTCCTGATATTTATATTACCAGTTCTCTGAAAAACTGTTTTTTTATTAAAAGCAAACTATTGTAAAGTGGTTCCAAGATCGTGAGAAAAAGTCACTCTTCACACTTTGCATTGCTCTGTTATTCACGTTGAAATACAATCAAAACTCTAAAAACTCGTGTTATTGGAAAACTATTTCATTCCTGGCGGTTGAGAATTTACATTTTTCCTGATTCCTTACTTTCAAAGTTATTTTCATTTTTATAAAATCAGTACTATTCATATTGTTCTTTACGATAGGAAATACACCTGTATTTTTCGTTACTCTAGTGTTTAGAAATTTAAAATGTAACATAATATTTGTCTTTTTCAACCGACTTCAAAAAGGAGGAGGTTCTCAATTCGACTGTATTTTTTTTTATGTTTGTTACCTCAGAACTTTGTCTCGTTCGTTCGTATACTTCCAGATTGGTCCCATTCAAATGTCAAAAACCCCTAAGGGTGGAAAAATAGCTAATGATGAATTAAACCTACTTCTAATTGTCATATTGACTTGAAACTTTGCAAGTGTTTCTATTTCCGTTGATAGTACAGTGGTTCGGTATTGTTGACCTGATCTGATGGTAAGGCCAGAAGGTGGATAGGTGGAACTCTTCAACGGCTAATAGTAGATACTTTGAGTTTGGGTTTATTTTGTTTGATTTGACAAGCCTAACACTTTAGAATTCTTACTTTGCTACTACTGTCTACACTAAAAAAGGAAAAATAAAAACTTTTTAACAAAAAAATAAAAACCGACTTCAAACAAAAGCACTAAAAAGTAAAAATAACTGATTGGTAGTTTTCATTTACTATACGTACCTAATCAAATATTTTCGAAGTCGGTGTGCTTTGGCTAAGTAATTAAAGCCTACCTATTAAATACATACTCGTACCTAATCAAATATTTTCGAAATCGCTGCCAGCTCATACAAAGCGACAATCCTTGAATTTGCAAGATTTTCGTTAACAAAGATCCACTGTGTAGTTTTTTTATATTGTGGTGTTAGTTATAGTCTGTCTGTGTAGGACGTAATTGTACTAAAAATGTAATACCGTTCTATCTTTTCCTTTTTTAAGAAGTAACAAACGCACTCACACATATACAAATTTCGCATTTATAATTCTAGTCTGATAAACAAAATGCGCCATCTTTTAGCAAATTTTATTACTAACATGTACTCTATCTAGGTCACAACCTATATGTGTCCTAAATTTTATCCAATATCGTTCAGCCGTTTCAATACGAAGTAGTAACAAACATATACACACAAAACTTTCGCATTTATAATAGGGGAACTGCAAACAAGCTGACGCTGGCTGATTTAATGCGTAGGGCAATCAAATATGATGTTAAAGCTCTGTTTACTCATGTTTCCTCAGTTTTCGTAAATAATTACTTTTTCTGCATTAAAACCAGGTGAGAGTAAAAAGTAGGTCGCGAGTGCACTTTAATATCAGCTAACAATAAACTGCGCAGTGATGTACAATTTCTCTTCGAAGGTAGCCGGTAATGAAACGCAAACACACCTGCGTCGTAATAATCTTTTCATTGGGAAATTCAACCCTATTTCTAATATAATAAGAAACAAATACGTGGATATCCTTACGATGCAAGTATTTTCCGTGCTAACCACAGTACCTTTTGCAGATTATGGACAATGCGTTTTGTCATATTTTTTACACTGTGTGTACAGATGTTGTAACACTACGTGTTCTTTTAATTTTTTGGTTAACGCTCCTCGTAATTAGATTATAATTAATTATTAATCGTTACATAAATATTATGTACGTGTACCTATTTAAATTAAATAAAATTTATGAAATTTTAATATTGATTTGTTATTAAAGAAACCATAGCAAAAGGATTTTTTGATTTCTTCATTTATGAAGAGACTGTGCTTATTTTATGTTAGATTTTAACTTTTTTTTACTTTATCCTTTAATAATAAAACCTCGAAAAATCCGAAAATGTAAGAGTTTCATTTTAAATGTTAAACATTAGCGTAGAAGAGTGCTAAAAAAGTGTAATTTTCTTTATATATTAACCACTTTCTATCAATCATATTGTTTTGTCTGATGTGAGCTGGGTTAGCGGTTAGCTGCCTTTCTATCTTTACGTCATCTTGTCTAAGCCCACAGGTTACATATATAATTAAAGTAGGCTGGACTTTTAATCATATTACACCACTAATCAAAATATATATTACAAATCCATACTAATATTATACATGGGAAAGTTTGTTAGGATGGATAGATGAATGGATGTTTGTTACTTTTTGACAGAAATATATATTTTTTTTTGATCTAATCTGATCTGGATGAAATTTGGCACAGAGGTAGATTATAGACTGGAATAACACATAGGTTACTTTTTACTCCGCAAAAATGTACAGTTCCTGTGTGATAGAGTTGATTTTGTTTAGGGACGAACCTAAAGCGAAGCGAGAGGGAGTCGCTAGTATATTAATATAAATATAGAATATATTATATCGCAATATGTAAAAGTTGCTATCAATAAAAAATAAGAAAATGTAATAAAATTTTGGCAATATCCTGATATTTACATAAGAAATTAGCTTTTACGACACATTAGCAACAATAGAAAAAAAATCAAATCAATCTTTGTTAAATATTTTCAATACAAATGATCACAGTACTACGTAAAATATCGTTGTCTGCAACTGATATATGATTAAGCAGGAGCGATTTATTCATTGGCATGAAAAATCTACTCACGCGAAAAAATAAAAGTAATACTATAAGTATACAGTATATTTTAATATATAATATATATTTACAATAAAATATATCAAACATTGTATATAAACAGTGTATTATATAAGAAAGAATCAATGTATACTGAATTATTATTTACACATTCTTTTCAGCACCACGCAATATTTGTTTGTAATGTCAAAATAACAGCTTTTTACTAAATGCATATGGAATTATATTAAACGGTACTTATAAGAAACTCAGTTTTTTAAATTTTTGACTGTCTGTCTTTCTGTCTGTTTGTTCCAGCTAAGCTCCGAAACCTCTGGACCGATTTTGACAGGACTTTAACTGGCAGATAGCTGATGTTATAAGGAGTAGCTTAGGCTACTTTTATTTTAGAAAAATAATTAGGGCTCCTCGCTAAAAAATTAAAACCCTTCAAATTGTGAACAAAATACATAAAATAGGGAACCACACGAGCGAGGGTAAGTCGGTAGTAGCAAATAAAGTATTTAAACAGATTTAGGTTGACTTAAACTTACTTCAATATTAATTTGTAACTTTGCAAATTTACTTAACTTAGATGTTAAGACAATAATTTGTAGTTTCTATATAAAACATGATTTTATAATATAAATATATGAATTATTTTTTACTAGCGGCACAGCCTCGCTTCGCTCGGGTTCACCACTAGGCAAACAAAAGCAGACCTATCTCAAGGACACCGTAAATTTTTCCGGGATTAAAAGTAGCCTATATGTTACTCCAAACTATAAACTAACTCTGTGCCTTTCATTTAGATCCGTTCAGCCGTTCTGGTGGGAAAGAGTAACAAACATACATCTATACATCCATACTCACAAACTTTCACATCTATAATATTAGTATAGAAGTAAAAAGATGCAACATCACTCTACAAATAACTATTTTGCAGTAAGGTAAATATTTTCTTATAAAGAGATAAAGTTTGTGAGTTTGTGACGTTGTACGGGGTAATCTCTGGATCTACTGAACCAATTTACATGAAATTTGGTAAAAAGATAGTTGGAGATCCTGGAAAGGATATATTACATAGGACACTTCTTATCACCAAAATCATCTCTAAAGGGGGTGAAAATGGGGATGAAAGTTTGTATGGGGAATCAAATAATAAAATGGATAATAATATTAAAAAACAAAAAACATACACAAAAATTCAGTACCTTTCTTTTTGAAGTTATTCAAGAAAAACATAACTTATGTGGCGTTACTTCATCTTCTTTTCTTATAAGAGGCATGATTCGACTGAGAAGCCAGAATTCGAGTAATCATTATTGAAAATTTGAGGAAAACATATTATATCAATAAAAATTACCAATTGATTGATTGATTGATTGATTAAAAATCTTTTTTTTATATTACTAAACAAAAAAAAATGGTCGACTTACAGAGGACTGTTTTGTCCGAAATTAATGGGATCTACTGTTTTTATAGAATAATGCTCAAAAGCACAAAGTTTACTTGAAAATTGTTAATTATTTGTTTTAAAAAAATTGTGTATTATAGGTAAGGAGAAATATTTACTTGAAGGAATTATAAAACAAATTGTTCGTTTATTTCTTTTTAAGGTTGTTTAACGTTTTACTAGGAGCTAAGAAAAATATATTATATACGTCTTCAAAGAAATTCTAAGCCAGGTTTCTTTACTTAAGTCGCGGTAACGTTGCGGTTGATTAAAGGCTTACCTCATAAAGGTACTATTCGCGTTGTAGGGAAT